ACTTGGTAGAATTTGGGCATATATGAATGATTTTATTGTAAAAGATATTGATGTATGGAAAGAAAAACCAACAAGAGAAACAACAATTGATTACAGAAATAAATAAATTTGGAGGTGATGTTTATGAGTAAAAAATATTTTATTTGCTCTGATATTCACGATATTATTCATTATTTTTACTCCGAACTAAAAAATAATGGATGGGAGGATAATAACAAGGAGCATATACTTATTTTGTGTGGTGATGCTTTTGATAGAGGTGATGAGGCTGTTAAAACTTATAAATTCTTGTTATCATTGGCAAATCAAGACAGACTTATATACATTCGAGGAAACCACGAAGATTTATTATTTGAATGTGCCAAAGATATGAGGGATTATGACGGATGTGCAAGTTCTCATCATTATTCAAACGGAACTGTTGACACGATAATTTCAATTTGATTACGAAAATTTGTTGCCAAGCGTTATGCAATTTATAAACAAAGTTTCAGTAAATTATTATGAATTTGGTAATATATTTTCTGTCACGGATGGATTCCTTTGGTATGGAATGATTGTCACAGTGAAGATGGAGAATTAAGTGGCTATTATGAAACCTGAAATAATGCCAACAACAAATAATAAAAGTTGAAAGAGGCAAGGTGGTTTAAACGGTAATGCAGGAATGGCATAAAGGGAAAAAAATTAAAGACAAAACAATAGTTTGTGGACATTTTCATACATCTTTTGGTAATTATAAATATCATAATAAAGGCAGTGGCGAATTTGAACCCGATTCAGATTTTGGAATATTTGAAGATGATGGCATAATCGCACTTGATTCTTGCACTGCATACTCTAAAAAAGTAAATATGCTTGTTTTAGATAATTTGGATTAAAAACGGAGGTAATTATATGAAATTAAGTATTTTAATAACGCATTATAACGAAGATGAGTCTGTTGTAAAGCCATTGTTGGATTCAATCGCACTACAACACGGAATAGATAAAAACGATTTTGAGGTAATAATTGCAAATGACGGAGACGAAAAATGCCTAAGTAAAGAGTTTTTAAATTATTACACGGGCAAATTACCGATTACTTACATAAAACTGCCACACGCTGGTGTTTCTGCCACTAGGAACAGTCTAATCGACTCATCAAACGGCGAATATATTATGTTTTGTGATTGTGACGATATGTTTGCATCAAATTTGGCTTTTAGAATGATATTTAACGAAATAAACAAAAGCCACTTTGACTTAATGTATAGTTCTTTCTATGAAGAAATATTCGTTCCAGAGAAAAAAACAAAAGAATTTATACTCCGTGAAAATGACAGCACATTTGTTCACGGCAAGGTAATAAAGCGTGAATTTCTTGATAAAGTTAATTTGAGATGGAACAACGAACTTAAAGTCCACGAGGATAGTTACTTCTTCGGATTGGCGTATCATCTGTGCGATAAGAACAAGTTTGTTCTTGGAAAACAACCATTTTATTTATGGAAGTGGAGAGATGATTCTGTTGTGAGAAGAGACCCAGAATTTATGGTTAAAACATATACAGACTTGTTAAATAATACTGCTATGGTTGAAGAATTTTTAAATAGAGGTATGGAAATTCAAGCATCTCAATATATGTTCCTTATGACATTCAGGCTATATTATAGTTTGAACAAACAAGAGTTTATGAAAAAGTCAAATCAATCATATGTTGAAAAAATTGAAAAGTATTTCCAACCAATATACTTAAAATATATTGATTTACTCGAAAATATACCATCAGAAACACAGTTGAGATATTTGAAGAAAATTAGAAGTGATATGTTCAACGAGTATCTTATGGTTGAAAAAATTACATTTGAAGATTGGACAAAAAGAATGTTGGAGAGGTAATTGTTATGACATTTGATAATTCAAAATATTATAAAAGAGTATTCGCCAAAAAACAAACCTACAAAGGAATAGAATTTAATAGCAAACTCGAATCAGACTTTGCAATGTTTCTTGGATGGTAAAATTATTGATTATAAAGGCAAAAAATCATATCATAAGCCAATAAAATGGCAATACGAACCAAAATCATTCGAGTTGATACCTCAAGAAATTTGGGTTGATAAAACAGAAAGAGATACAACGGTAAAAACAATTCAAAGAAACAAGAAACATACACTTCAATATGTTGGTTATACTCCAGATTTTTATCTACCAGAATATAATCTATGGGTAGAAACAAAGGGGAAAATGTTTGACGATGAATTGTTTCATCTGAGATTGAGATATTTAAACACGCATTTAAAGATGAGGCGATATGGGTTGTAAGAAGTCACGATGACTTTATGGACATTGATAAAGTGTTGGATAATATAAAAATATCAAAAAACATATTAAAACACCATAAAATGTTTGACATATTATTGTTATGGTGATATAATTACATTATAAAATCGGGGAGGAAAAAATATGAGTAGTGTAAAAATTTCAGAATTTCATTCAAAAAATAATCTTCTTGCATATATATCAAAATACTGTATTTATGAATGCAATGTAGAGATTGGTGGTGAAAAAAAATTTGATGGTTTTGAAATAAAAAGACCAGAAAACAGAAGATATTTAGTTATAGAAATATTAAAAACACTAGAAGAAGTTCAAAAAGAATTTGACGAATTAAAGTGGAAAGAAAGCGAAATTGCAAGACTTGATATGAGTGGTAAAATGGCTGCTTGTTCTGTTTGTGATTATTGCTACCAACAATTCAAACAATGTCAACTAGACCCAGAAACAAGAGAAAAAACATTAATTTGTGCACAATGTGTTAATAAATACAGAACAATGCCATATTTATAAGGAGGAAATTACTAGTGGCTGATAGAAGTGAATTAGACGATTATGTTGTAGATGTTGGAACTAGAAATTTGGTTGTTACAAAAACTACGCAATATCAAATTCAAAAACTTGAAAAAATGAAAAAGCGTCTTCCTAGTTACATAAAAAAAAGAAAGGAACGATTTGCAGAAGAATATCAAAAATTTATTGATGAAAATTCAGTTGATGGTTCTGTTATGCCAGACGACACAAGAATACAAATGCTTAGTTTAATACAAAACACATTCAGCCCACTTATAAAGGTTGCAGGTTATTCACCAGCATATAGTGCAGATGAAATGGCTATTGCTTTTGACTTTTACAAGTCTTGTGCAATAAAACTCAACCAGACAGGTATTTATACTCCAAAAATTGAAGATTTTCTGTTCGCTTGTTAATATATCAAGATATACATTTGACAAATATCAAACATCAAGTTCAGACGAAAATCTTCGTGAGGTTTGTATGAAAATTCAAGATTATTGCGTGGCAAGAACATCTGACATTGCTCTTGGAAGTAAAGACAAGGCAGTTGTTACATACGCAATTTCCATCAAAAATCATCTAATAAACAAAGAGATAACGACCCAGTTCAAAACAATACATACATACAAAACAATACAATTATGACTGATGAACAGTTTAATGATTTGGCTAGCAAATATTCTTGTGATAATTAAATTATAGCGATAAAATACTTGACAAATATACATTATATATGTTAAATAATAATTGACCTGATTTATTGAGAGACTGATGTATAGCATACATTTTGTTGTATACTTCCTTAGATGTATGGATTTATCACAGGCAAATCAGGGTTTCGGCAGGGGTAACTATCTTTCCATCCCCCTGCATATGTCAAATGAAAATAGGTTTCAATACGGACTCCCAGTTTTATTGGTTCAACTCCCAATATTTGACACGCTCCTTAAAGCCACTACATTGAAAATTTTTTTCATATTTTGAATTTCCTTTTTTTTGTTAAAAATATATTATAATATAACCGACTTAAAACAACTCTGGTTTTGTGGCTTTGCCTGAGTTGTTTTTTTTATGTAAATTAAAAGAGAGACCAAATATACAGTCTCTCTTTTTAAATATTTTGAATTAAAATAAGAATTACAATAGCAATTATAAACAAATAAATGCTTTTGTCGTCTTTAGATTTTTGCTCAGTAGTGTTTCCGTTTATTTCTTGCATCTTTAGTTGTTCTTAAGTTTTGAAAGTTCAGCCTCAACCAATTTTTCAAATTCAGCTGTTTCAACTGATTTCTCATTAGCCTTAGCTTCTTTTTCTTTCTTTTCAGCTTCTTTCTTTTCAGCCAGCAACTAATCTTTTCTTTGCTTCTGCTTTAACTTTTGCTTTCAATTCTGCTTCAGCATTAACTTTGTCAAGTTCCTCAACTGCTTTATTATAAACCCCAATGAGTTCGTTGTATTTTTCAGCAGGGAGTGTTTTCTTTGCAAGTCTAAGTGCCAAACTTTCGGCAGTGTCTTTACCTACAACAAAAACAAGAAAGTATGCTACTGCAAATACTGCTACGCAAATTAAAATTCTAAATACATTAGCCAAAGAAACTACCAATGGCAATGAAAGATATGCTGTAACACCACAGAATGCAGAAATCAAGAAACCAAAAATCAATGTTTCTTTATTTGCTTTAATAAATTTTAACATATTCCCTCCTTTTTTATCTAAGATTCTCATACCAACCCAAAGATAACTAAACTTGGTTATTGGCTTAATAAGAGACTTCTCTTTATTAACAACAACTAATATTTTTGTTGGTATATAGAATATTCTGACTACTTTGAATGTGCAAGCCAGAAAAAAGTAACTAGAAAATATTGAAATAACGCCACAAACGATGTCTAGGACGCAAAATATTACCTGAGCATTATCAAAGTTACTCTTGATAAATTTTGTTGTCTCATAATACTTGTTTTTAAACTCGTCATTTTTTATCTTTCCGTTACAAATAAATACAATTATGGCAGACAATATGGTGAATCCAAGTGCAATGTGGTCACTAGCTCCAAACGAAAAACAAAAGTCAAACATTAAATCACTAAATATAAACAATAGCATAAAGCAGATTGCTATATCGTATTTTATATTTGCATTAACACTCTTCATCTTTACCATATTATTCCTCCACAACTGTTTCTGCTGAATTTTCACACTCTTCAGCAACTTCTTCGTCTGGGATTTCTACCATAGTTGAAGTTTCGTTGATAAGAACATCAAGTTTTGCAGTTCTTTCAGCAAGAACTCTCTCGAACTCAGCCTTAACTTCTTCAACTACAACTTCTTTTCTTGCAACAAATCTATTGTAGTCCTCTTCAAACCCCTCGAGTGGTCTTCTTTCTAACATTTGCGAACCCTCCTTTATAATATTATATTAACAGAATTGACTGATAATACCTATTTATGAATTATTGCTACATTAAACAACTTTTCAATTCCACAAACTCCACAATATGACACTATTGCTAGAACTAATATTATAAACAAAGATATGGCAATAACTCTCGCAACTTTTCCAAATGTTGATATTTCTTCAAGAACTGCATTTACGCCATTCAAAACTGAAAGGAATATTGTTATCAAAACATATGGAACAGTTAAAACCAAAAGCATCAATACCATAAGTGGAATACCATATGACCTGTCTCTATATGACTTTGGTTCACCATTGTCTTTTTCTTTTTTCTTGATAAGATTTGAGAAATCAAATTCAAGAATTGGTCTGAAAGATTTGTAAAATGCCTCAGCCTTTTCCTGCTTGGCATTTATTGTTTCCTTCTGCTTGTTTATTTTGTCTTGATTGAAATCCTCTTTTAATGTATCTTGCTGAATATCTTTTAACTCTTTTCTAGTCTTTTCAGCATCTTCAGAATCATCATTCAAAATTGAACTAATAGCCTGTGCCTTTGCAAAATCAGTAGCAATCTCTTGCAAAGAAGCACCTTTTTCAACCTGTTTCTTCAAAAACTTATTATTTAAGTCATCAAAAGAAAGTGGTTGACTAGCAAGTTCGTTCTTTTTCTCTTTTAATCTAGCAAGTTCTTCATCTTCATTGAAAGAATCTTTTGTCTCTTCCATAAAGTTACCCTCCTTGTTTATTTTCTTTTTCTATTCTTTTTACCACAAGCCATATTTTCACCTCATAGTTTAAAAATATTATTTATTTTGTAAGTTGTCAATCTCTTTACGCCAGTTTTCACGATTTTTAAGAACATCAGCATATTTAGTTCGTAAGTCTACAACTTTTGAATTGTCACCAGTTGCAATATATTCGGCAATTGATTCTGCAAGTTTATTGGCTACATAATCTGTTTGAAATAACTTTTCTTGTAATTTTTCAATTTCAAAACTATTAAGTTCTTCTTGAGTATATAACTTATAAACAAGTATTTCTTCTTCTTCATCGTGTTCTGCTATGTATGGTTTACCTTCAACATCAACAACTTTCTTGACATCTTTACCACCATTCTCGTATTCTGCAATAACTTCATAGTGCGATTGTTCTTCAACTGCTTGTTGTTCAGGAATATGAATTACAATTAAATCTTTTACGAGACCACCTTTTTCATAGTCAATATCGTGTTCAGTTAATTCTCTTGTTTTATCTTCGTTAAATATTCTCATATTCCCTCCTAACCAATTCTCTTCCAAGCATATACTTTATATGCAGGTGGTTGAACGCCAGCAGTTCTTCCATATATAGTATTATACCTAGATGCATTAAACTCGAATTTTGCACTTTCTCTTTTATTTGAACTCGTTCCAGTATAACTAGAAGTTGTCTCACTTGCAAACTGATATAATGTTCCATCAACCCAACAAGTTGCTCTAGCCATATTGTATATTGAAAAATTTCCATACAAATTAGGCAATCCTGAATAAAGCCTTCTATATGAACTTGCACTAGCATTATTTGGTTCAATAACACCTTCATTTGTAATTGTATCTTTTGTTGTCCATAAAGCATAATTTTCTGGTAATTGTTCCCAACTTCCAGTGAATAAACTTGCAGGACTAGTTGAATTAACAGATATATAAATTGAGCCAACAGGATACACATCATCAAAAGTCACATAATTACTTAATTGTGAATTTAATCCAATTACATTCTCTTTTGTGGTAAAAGGATATGCTGTATTCCCTTGACCGTCTTTCAATTCTACATTTACTGCCATTATGGTATCCTCCTATAAATAATTACTTTAATTGCAGGTGGTTGAACTGTTGAACTATTTCCATAAATTCCACTAGTTGTTGCACCTGAATTTGCATTAAATGTAAGACTAGCAAAAGTTCCACCAGCAGAACCAGATGCCATAATATCAGATGCTTCAGCAGCAGCTATATTTATTGCACCAGTTCCAACTTGAACACAGTGATTTCCACTATTTACAAATCCACGAATTTTTGCAGTTCCAGTAATATTAGGCAAACCTGCTGGAATAGTATTTCCTGCACCACTTGATGCACTCCATAAAAGCATAATTCGCTGGAAGTTTAACCCAATTTCCACCCATAAAGTTTGTTTCGTTGTCATTAAAACTTAATCTTAATGAACCAATTGGGTATATCGTATCTAGTAATATATTAACAGCTTGTGTAACAGAACTTTGAGTTACATATTCAATTTTTTTGTTCAACTCATCAGTAGTTGATTTCTGTGTCATAGCACCATCTGTGTTTTGACCTGTTGAACTGTATAAACTTGGGATTGTTGGTTTATTTGTGACTTCTGTTGAATAATTAACACTATTCTTTGTCGCAAGTGTTCCCAAATCGCTAGATTGAACAGCACTATCTGCCTTACCAAGACTAGTCTGAACAGCACTTGCTAAATCCGTCTTTGGAATACCTGTTGATGGCTTACTATATGTTCCTTTTTGTGAAAGTGCATTCGCTAAACTTGTATTATCAGTTGCATTGCCAGTAATACTTTCAAAACTTACTGTGACACTGGATTGTGATGTATGGAGCAATGACCAAGTAGTTCCGTCATAGTAGTAAGTGTCATTTACTCCAACATCTGCTGTTTCTGGAGTTGTGCTAGGAACGCTAGCAGAGTATGTAGAACCATTAGGTCTATACTTAGGTGTTCCTACAACTGCAACAATAAAATAATCTCCAACTTTGTAACTGTATGGGTCTGTGGTAGGAGTCGTCATTGCAAGTCCAGTTGTGCAGTTCCACAAACTCAAATTCTTCCACGAGCAAGTAAATTGCTTATTTGAGTCTGCAATTCTTGGTCTGCATCTTTTATTTTACCGATAAGCCTTGCAAGACCTGTTTCATCTAAATAATTACTCATTATTAATTACCTCCCCATAAAGTATCAATTGTTGAATTTGAAATAGAGCCAATATCACTTGGTTGTAATGCAGTATTTGCTTTTGATACGCTATCTATAACATTACTAATTGTTTCAGTGTTTGTTCCATCTGTTATACCTACTGCTTGAATAGTCCCAGCTAGCCATTCATTTCCGTCCCAATCAAGAGTTCGTGCATTTGAACGAGCACCGTTAAAGCCATTACCAACAATTTCCACATAATATCCACGATTAATCTCATCAGTTGCAGTATTGTCAATAATATTATAGTCACCAAATGTATGTTGGCTTCTTCCATTTGCTACAGTAGAATTTCCTTCTGCGTGTGAAGCAGTTCCATTTGCTGTAGACCCAATACCTTCAGCGTGTGAATTTCTACCATTGGCAGTTGTATTCATACCTTCTGCGTGTGAAGCATCTCCACTAGATGTACTTCCTACACCTTCAGAGTGAGAATATTGACCACTTGCTGTTGTTTGATAACCTTCAGCGAAAGAATAATTTCCGATAGTTGTGTTTGCTTTTCTATTCAAACTAAATGAGCCAGTTCCAGTTGGATTTGTTTTATCCATTTTTGTGCTTATATCTGGAATTGTTGGCTTATCTGTCAAGTCACTATAACTGCCAGTTGTAGCAACGGTCGCCAACTCATCACTTTTTACAATACTTTTCCATTCTTTCCAGTTGCCCAAATCCTTGTGTCTTACCCACATAACATCTGCTGTATATGTCCAATAAACTTGCACTGAATTATCACTAGCAAAACCATTCTTCAAAACAAGCATCACACCATTATTTGCTGTTGGTCTATTTGTGCATACATTACAAGAATAAAAACCAGTTGCTGTAATTGTGTTTAAATCAACCCCATCAAGTGTTCTTGTTTTGCCATTGTTCCCACTCGCAATATAATTATAAATTGCACTCTCTGAAACCGTCTTGTTATTTGCTGGACTATCACTAATTGATGTTACTAATTCTGGTATAGTAGGTTTATTTGTAATTTGATTACTTGTATAATCAATACTATCTTGTGTTGCCAAATCACCCAAATCATCAGGTTGGACTGCTGTAAGACCAGCATCAGCACCTTGTCTAATTGTTTCTAAATCTGAAATCGCATTTTGCTTTGCGTTCCAAGTATTCTTCTCGCTAGTTGTTACAAACTTGTTTGTTGAATTTGTATCTGACACATAATCTGCATTTAATTTATTATTTGCATTAATGTTGTCTTGTTTTTCATCATCAAGAGTATCAATCCTAGAATCAAGTTCAGTTAAATCTGATTGCGATGCCTTCCCATTAACAAGTGTTGTTAAGAAAACCCAACCAAACACAGACATAGTTCCGTCATTTTCAACATAAACTTTTCCATTAACATTACTTGTGCCTTTTACGATACCTAACATATCATTTGTTGCTTGATTAACAGTATCAATACCATAATCTAACCACTGTGCTGGATTTTCGCTATATCTCCAAATATGGTTAGTTCCACGAACTACTACTGATATACTTGGAAATTCTGAAACGGAATAACCTTTACCTATTACAAATAAATTAATATCAACTGCATCAGGATTATCTTTTGCAGTGAATAATAATCGTATATTTCTGCCTGCAAGTCTATCAACATCATCTCTTAAATCTGCTAATGCTTGAACATCTGCTGGTGACATCATACCAGCGTTATCACTATCTGCCAAACCAACAACTTCTTCTGTTGTTTCTTCTGCCCCAGTTTTTAAATTTACAAACTTTTGTTTAAACTTAACAGTATCACCATTATAGGTGAAATTATCTCCAGTTTGTTTAACAGAAACTTGTTGATTTAGCTTATTATCAAAAATCACAAACTTTGTTTGCAAGTCTGTTTGTGTATCAATATTACCTGTAATACTTCCCCACTCAACACTTGATGCTTTTGGATAAACAGGTTCTTTACTCCAATGTTTATAATTAACTGCATCTGGGCTTGTTTGAACCCATATAGCATAATGATTTATCTCTGTGTCGCTTGGAGTGTTTTCTGCCATATAAACTCTATATGTTGTTTCGACTGCTCTAAGTGTGTATTCTTCAGCCCCATTTCTAATGACAACATTTTTTGAATCGTCAACAAGTGTGTTATATTCAGTATCTGTCAAAGTGCCATTATCACCAGAAATACTTATAATATATTTAGACGAAACCGATAATTCAATATTCCCAGAGCCAAGAATACTTTGATTGTTTATAGTTTTAATATTTTCACCAGAAACAAGTTTTTCTTGTTTCCCAGTTTCAAGTGCGTCTACATCATTTTGTAATTCTTGAATATCTTGTTCTGCGTCATCAAGTCCATCTGAAAGTGTTTGTATGTTTCCATTAATGGTTTCAATTTCATTATTAATATTGTTAATGTCTGTGTTGATTGTATCAATTTCACCACTAATTGTTTCAACATCATTTTCTAGGGTTTCAACTCTTTCAATTAAATCTTCTGGGACAGCGTGTTCATCAACATATTCTTGCGTAGCAAAAGGACTAGTGCCATCCTCGCCATCATTAGTTAAGTCACTAGTCTTTTCTGGAATATTCTTTTTTAATACAGCCTCAATTGTGTAATTTTCATTATCAACAACTACATCAATGTTTTCATTTTCAACGCCTGTATATCTTCGTGAAACTTCTTGAACTGGAAGCATATCACTAGTCAAATCAGCAGGAGCACCAAACTCAGACTCCAACTGTTCTTCTTGCGAAACCTCGC